AGCCTCCAAAAGCAATTTAGTAAACTTAATGATATTCTGATTTCATTGGAAAACCAAATCTCTATAATTGGAATAAGTGAAACCAGACTAAATGAAAACTCATCTTCCAATATTGATTTGATTAATTACAGTTTTTTAAGACATGATTCTCCCACACAAGCAGGAGGTGTGGGTCTGTATATTCACAATAGCTTAGAATTTCACTTAAGACAAGATATTAAGTTACTGGTTGATGGTTGTGAGAATTTATGGGTTGAAATTCATACACCTAAAAATGAGAAAAATATTATTATAGGCATAATTTATAGACACCCACACTCTAATATTTCTGCATTTAAAGATGCTTTATCAGATAAATTGGAGCATAGTTTGAATGAAAATAAGCAATTAATCATTATTGGGGATATAAATATTGATCTCGTAAAATGTGAAACACACCAACTTACTTCTGATTACCTTGATATGATATACTCTAACTCTTGTTTTCCTGTTATTACACAGCCTACTAGAGTCACAAACTACACTGAAACTCTAATTGACCATATTTATACCAATGTTTTAAACAAACCTATTACATCCGGAATCTGCCTGACTGAAATTTCCGATCATTTTCCTGTTTTTCTAATCTTGCATAAAATAAAATCGGCAACAAAACGGAATATGAAGAAAAGAAACTTCAAAAACTTCAATAATGATTTTTTTTACAAGACCTAGAAACATCTATCAGTGACACTAACCATAATAGAAATGTTAACAATTCATTTTCCAATTTCTTTTCCATATTTACATCAACAGTAAATAAACATGCACCTATACAAAATGTCTCAAGGAAAGAATTTAAACTTTCTACGAAACCTTGGATTACTCCTGCGATATTAAAGTCAATAAAAAGAAAACAATATCTTTATTTTCATCATTTTATCAAAGGCAATGAAGATCAAAAAAGGTACTATAAATCATACTCTAATACTTTAACTCATTTGAAAGAATTGAGTAAAAAGTTATATTTTAAAAATAAAATAACAAAAATTGAAGGTAATATAAAAGAAACATGGAAAATTATTAACCAAATAGTTAAAATAAGGTCTAAAAAGGGTCCTGAAGGGGGGGTCCCAATCCCATTTCCCACCTGAAATTTTGGCAAAATCCCAGTCCCAGTTGGATTTTTATTAGAAATCCCAGTCCCAGTTATTGAAATCCCAGTCAATAAAAACCCCTTTATTTATCGGTAGAATAAACAGTTTTAAGACCTTTTAAGCAAGTGGCTGACACTTAATGAAATATTAGGGGGTGTTCGTGCCGAAGGCACGGAAAATTTTTAAATTTGAATCCCGGAAATGGCATTTGCAGCATTCTGAGACACGCATAATCAGAAAACCCAGAATTCGGGGCGCCAGAGTATGCCTGTTCGCAGGTAGTGCTGTGAATAATATAGTCAACAACAAAAATCATGACCAAAGACACCAAAAACGGATCAAAATTGTATTTTAAAATACTCAAAACGCAGAAAAATTGGTAATCGACTCGCATTAGCTCAATCCCATTCCCATTTTTGAGGACTTCATTTCCCATTCCCAGTGGCCAAATCCCAGTCCCAGCAACCCAAATCCCATTTTCCCAGTCTAAAAATAGATCAATCCCAGTTCCCATTTTACCCCTTCAGGGCCCTCTCTAAAGGTTCTATTACTCCAGACAAGATAAATAATAATGGCGTTGAATTTGATCAACCGCAGGATATTGCCAATCAATTCAACATCTTTCTCAGAGATATTGGTCCTCAACTTGCAGAAAAAATATCTCCTTCCAATAAAGACTTTCGAGATTATCTTACTCCTTTGAATACTCATGAAAGTTTCTTTCTTACACCTACAACTCCTAATGAAGTGGCTTCTATGATAAATGAGCTCGATGCCTCAAAGGCTTTGGGCCCTCATGGAATTCCTATTACTTTACTGAAACTTGCAAAACCAGTTATTGCATCAGAACTGAGTGAATTATATAATTTTTCATTTACTTCTGGTATATTTCCTTAAGAACTCAAGCTCTCGCGAGTAATCCCTCTTTATAAAAATGAATCGATTCACTTGTTATCAAATTACAGACCTATTTCCTTACTTTCACCATTCTCAAAAATGTTAGAAAAATTAATGTGCAAACAACTATTATCATATTTGAATAAAAAGGACATTATATACAAATACCAATTTGGATTTCGGAACAATCATTCAACAACGTTGGCATTAATTGAAATTATTGACAATATTCATAATGCCATGGATAAGGGTCTTTATACTTGTGGAATATTTATTGATTTTTCAAAGGCATTTGATAGTATCAACCACACGATTCTCCTTTCCAAGTTGGAGCACTATGGTATTCGTGGCGTTGCGTTACATTGGTTTAGAACCTATCTAACGGATCGCTCACAATTTGTAGACCTTAATGGGACACTCTCAAACACTATTAAAACAAACTGTGGAGTTCCACAGGGTTCAAATTTAGGCCCACTATTATTTCTTATTTATGTTAATGACATCTCGAATTGCAGCAATGTTTTAAATGTCTTTTTTAATGCTTTTTTGGAAAATAGTAACATACTAACTTTAACCACAATGGTTAATGTTGAATTAGAAAAACTTACCAATTGGATTAAAGCAAATAAATTATCGCTAAATATAAAAAAGTCGAAATTTATGATATTTTCATCCGTTAGAAAACAATTTCACTATATTCCAAATATCAAGTTAGATGGCTGTTCACTAGAGCAGTCAGAATTTTTTAAATATCTGGGTGTCCTTCTTGACAGAAACTTGAGTTGGAAATTTCATATAAACGTTATATGTAAGAAACTTTCCAAGAATATTGGCATGATTTCAAAATTACGTCACTATGTTGATCTTGACACACTAAAAAATGTTTATTACTCCCTAATATATCCTTACCTTTATAATGAGGCAATTATTTGGGGAAATAAGTACCAATCTCGTCTTAATCAGTTAAACATTTTAAACAACAAAGCTGTCAGGATCATGACTTTTTCTGAACCTCGATCCCATGCTCCACCTATCTACAAATTACTAGGTATTCTTCAAGTAAAAGACATTGTTTACACACAAAAATGTACTTTTATGTACGATTACTTTAATAATAGGTTACCAGTAGCATTTTCTAATTATTTTACACACTCTTCAGAAATACATCAACATTATACTCGATATTCAGCCCATAACTTTCATTTGCCATCTGTTTCTAGTAACTCAGGAAAATTCTCATTAAAATTTTCTGGAATAAAAATCTGGAGTTCTCTTCATAATCAAGACAAATTACTACCTAGGAAATCTCTAATAAAAAGAATTAAAAAGAATTGCCTTGATACCTATTCCTAATATCAAATGTTTACTTACTATAATCAAATCAAACCTATTGTGTGTGATACAAATTGTTAATGTACAGTATGCGTGTATATATGTGTTTATTATATTTCTATATATATTTCTAAATTTATTTTTCTTTTGTATTATTATTTGCCATATTTAATTCATTGTTGTATATAGTTCTTATGGGGAATTGGCTCGAAAACTTAAGTTACTCCAATTCCCCAGCACCGTTCTCACTTTATTGTAATAATCTTGTCATTTTTTTTTCTCGAGTGCAAATAAAATTCTATTCTATTCTATTCTATCTGCCACCTTCTCCCATGTATTCCCTAATTTATTTTGTTGCATATGCTAGTTTATTTACATGTTCTTTAGCAATATTAATTTTTGCTAAGTGGTGATATTGAAATTAATCCTGGCCCTTGACGCAATTTATCTCATAATATTAGCCATATAAACGCCAGAATCTCTGTGATGAAAATAAATTTGATGAAATTAGCTCCTTAGTACTAAATGAAAAATTTGATATCTTAGCTGTGTCTGAGACTGCATGGTTAAACTCAGGAATTTGGAATGATCAATTACATATTCCAGGTTTTAATCAATTGTTTCGTCTTGACAGAAGTGATGGTAGAAGAGCTGGTGGAGTTGTTCTCTGTACTTTGTGTTCTATCGTAGCTAAAAGGATGTTGCATTTAGAAAATTTAATTTAGCTTTTGAAGTGCTCTGGGTAGAAATGACAATCAATCGTCATATAACTGTTTGCGGGGGGTGTTATCGCCTCCCAATTATAATTATTATGCTAATATTCAATTTTTAAACTATTTACAATGCTGTGTTGATAAGTTAATACTTAACTCCAGGGATTAATATCCTTTTAATTGGTGACTTCGATGCTCGTTACGATTTCCATGACGAATCGCTAAGTAGTAACTTTGGGATTTCCCTTTTACAGGGTGTATAAAAAAAGACTTTTAGAAATCAAGCATATTGTTAAAATTTGAATGCCTTTTCAGTTGCACATATGCTGAACCGTAGTGCGTTAAATATTGATGGTTGCATATATTAGAAAAAGGAGACCCTTAGAAATTGAAATAACGTTTAAACAAAAGATTGTCTGCTCCTGGGAACAATCTGTCATGCATACTGTACGTAGATCGCATGTTACGGACTCGTGGGCTTAGCAAAGGGCTCCAGGATTCAAATTATAACAATGGTTGATTTCTAAAGGTCTCCTTTTTCTAATATATGCACTCCATCAATATTTCACGCACCACGGTTCAGCATATGTGCAATTGAAAAGGCATTCAAATTTTAACAATATGCTTGATTTCTAAAGGTCTCCTTTTTTTTATACACCCTGTAGATGGTTAAAATGTAATAATCTTTCTCAAGTAATTCGATCGTGAACCAACTCGTGTCACAGCCAATGGGGGTACGGTTCTTGACCTTATAAATACAAATACGCCGGGCTATTTTGTTTTGTCTGGAACTGTTAGTCCTCCGAGCATGTGTGACCATTCAGTAATTTATGCACGTATGAATATATCTTTATTCAAGCCGAAGTGTTACAGACGTACTACAGGGTGTCTCAAAAAAACCCAAAATTATTGAAATTGACGTATTGTTCGATATTCAATGCCCTAGCACTAAGTTAATCCCACGAGTGCATAAAAGATTGACATAACTGCTATAATGAATGGTAATACTCAGCGTAAACTTGTTATGTCAGGCATAAAGTACTAAACCCACGAATGCATATTACGCATATTACAATTTACGAAGCATTTTTAAATTCCCATGAGCAAACAAACGTTCGCTTTACAAAGATATTTTAATTTTTTAAAACAAATTAATCACCCTGTCAAAATCCTTTGTGTTACGGCATTGAAATTCGAACAATACGTTATTTCAATGATTTTGGGTTTTTTTGAGACACCCTGTATATGGGACATGTCTAATATTGATGTCCATAAAATGAGTGATGCCTTTTCGGTTTTAAATTGTGATTATATTTTAATCACTGATGATATAAATTCTGTGTATGATCAGGTGTTTCAAAGTTTTTATCAGATTCTCGAATCTCATGTCCCTTATAAATCTGTTGTTATTCGCCCACGCGACAAACCGTGGATGAATACATCAATTAGGAAATCGATTAGGAAGAGAAATAGATTATTAAAAGTCCATCTTCGTTGTAATACTTCATATACATGGGAGAGATATAGAAAACAAAGAAACCAAACAACTTCTTTGATTGATTCATGCAAAATAAAATGGTATGAAAACTTAAATTTGAAACTACAAGATCCAACTTTAGCTTCTAAAAAATGGTGGGGAATAATAAAATCTATTCATGGATAAAAATGCAGCCCTCAGTTCCTACCCTCTTTGAGGGTTTTTACATGATAACCGAGGCTAAAGAAAAGGCGTGTGTAATAAATGAGTATTTTTGCGCTCAGTGTAGATTGGACAGTGAAAGTTACGAACTGCTTCCACTTCCAGACATAATTAATTCAAGATTTATTTCTAATATAACCACTACTATGACTGAAGTCAATAATTTATTAAAAGGTATTGACATTTCTAAAGCATGTGGTGTTGATGGTGTTGGTAACCATTTACTTAAATTAAGTGCCGATGGAATCTCCCAGTCTTTTGCAAGTATTATATATAAATATTTATTTTTCAACTGGAGTTTTTCCGAAAGCATAGAAAGTTGCAAATGTCATACCAATTTTCAAAAAAGCTAATCGTCAACATAAGGAAAACTACCGTCCTATTCCCTTCCACCTGCACTCTCCAAAATACCTGAGAATCGACTTTATAATTTTTGTCCCCCAGTCGACGGCGCGAAGCGCCGTGCGAGGGTACTAATTCCGCCTGGCTATTTACACCCGGGGAAACGAACGCACTAGCGAAGTCTAAAGTTCATCAAATATCGTGGGCACATGGCTCACCGTCATGCATGGGTGGTAATCCTCACTGATCTCAAAATATGTAGCGAACTGTCGTGAATAGTGAACACTGATTGGTCAAATTTGAAATTTGCATTATAACGACTGCATTGACGACAGCGAAATAACAACCATTTCTTTCAAGTTGTATTTTTGCAAGATTTTGTAAATTTCAAAACCTTTCTGAGAGCCGAAAAATGTCTAAAAACTTCTAAAAGGATGGAGCAAAGACGCCGACGTTAATGAAGATAACTTTATTTTAAATATTGATGTATATTGTTTGTTTTATAATTGATATATTTATAACTGATAGTGGTGGGCGATACTGCGAATATCGAACTGATATATACTATCGTTGCGCTCGTCGTTGCGTATATATAAGCTCGTCGTTGCGTATATGATAATTTCAGTGCAGTTTTATTAATTACCCTTCCTTTTGTATATTAAAATATTTAAATAAAGAGGAAAGCAAAGTTATTTTCATGCGAGAATTTGAAATCAGTTCATTTCAAACTCAATGTTTACCGATAATTCGATAAAAGTCCGTTTAGTTCTAAGAAGATTTTAAAACGTTTTGCGAAGTGTTTGTGGTTGAATTTTACATTAAATTGAAGCTTATATTACTTATAATAACATATCTAGCACATATATGTTTGGGAAATTGATAATTTTGTAATTAAAAGTGATATTTTGGGGGGATTTTTCGATTTTGAAACTATTCTTAAAATCATCATGTTACCATGAAAACTACTTTCAACTCTTCATCTCGCTCTTCATATTCAGAAAACATGTTTTATCAGTCAAGGCGAGGGTTTCTACATGCATGTATTTTCTAGTTATAGATATTAATTTTTTAAGCCCCTACCAATCTGGTTTTAGACCTGGTGTTTCCACAGTAAACCAGCTAATATATATTGTTTATAAAATTCATGAAGCATTAGACTCGGGAAATTAAACGAAGTTAGGATGGTTTTTTCGACATCAGTGAAGCCTTTGATAAAGTTTGGCATAAAGGATTAATCTTAATACTAAAATGAATAGGTGTGAGGGGTCCTCTACTTAATTGGATTGTTAGTTATTTGTCTCAAAGGAAACAGAGGGTACTCACTAATTATTAATTGACAATCATGCATCTGATTAGAGTGACATCGAAGCAGGTGTTCCTCAAGTAGTATCTGTATTAGGTCCTTTACTTTTTCTAATATATATTAACAATATTACAATGAATCTTCAAAGTAACTGTTTTCTTTTTACTGATGACTTGTCCCTATTTCAAATTGTTAGTGATCCTCATAGTACGTCTATATCTCTTAACCGGGATCTTAAAGAGATTGAGTCCTGGTCACGCGATTGGTTAGTCACAATTAATTCTGAAAAAACTGAGTCTATTATCTTTTCCACTAAACGTATTAAGCCCTATCATGCTCCACTATTTTATATAACACTCAAATAAATGAAGTCTCGAAACACATTCATTTGGGTGTTACTCTTACCTCAAATCTTTCGAGGAAAGCCCATATTCTTAAAATATATGAGAAAGCCTTTAAACGGTTGAACTTTTTGAAGGGCCTTAAATTCAAAATTTATAAAATACTCTAGATAAATTATATATAAGTCATTAATAAGACCGATTATGGAATATGCTGGTGTCCTTTGGTGTTGTTGCCATGCTAACGAAGCCGAGCTTCTCGAGTCTTTTCAATATGAAGCCGCTACTCTGGTCACTGGTGCGATGAGGGGGACTGGCAGACAGGCGTTGCTAAATGAGCTTAACTGGGTTACTTTACAAAAAATAGAAAATTAGTTCATAAACGTATTTTATTTTTTAAGATTGTTAATAATTCAAATCCTTTATATTTACGTAGTGTCTTACCACAAACAGTTATACAACAATCGAGTAGAATTTTGAGATCAGCTAATAATTTTTCCTTACTTCCCACTCGAACGGAAATGTTTAAAAAATCTTTTTTTCCATCAACGGTTAAGTCGTGGAACAATCTTGATCCTGATGTCCGAAGGCACTTTCCATTAACACGGCCAGACCGGTCAGAACGGTCAAATTGCTGAATGGAACACAAAACATTTGGATGAGGTTCATTTTCGCTAGAATTTGAGAAACGGCATAGACCAGACCGGTCAGGCCATTAAATGGAAAGCGCCCTAAGATACTGTCTCGTTGGAGATATTCAAAAATACTTTAAACAATTTATATTAGGCAGAATACCAAACATTTGAGTGTGGCCATTGACAGATACTCGTCCATACTACATACTCGTCTTCGGTTAAACTGTTGCACTTTAAACTATCATCTGTTTAAAATTAATTGTATCGAATCTTCATCTTGCGTCTGTGGTGATCCTTGTGAATCAATCCTTCATTATTTCTTATGTTGTCCCCGACATGCTGGCTCTACGACCTCCCTTACTCTCGGTTGCTGCACAATTATTAGGGGAACGTTGGAATCACAGCTCAGATAATCAAATGACTAATTTTCTCCTCTATGGGTCGAGTGAATTAACATTTAATGAAAATATGTATCTTTTTGAAAATGTTCAGAATTATATCAAGGAATCCTGTCGAATTTAATTAATAGGCAATTCCAGCTTTTAGTTTATGCCTGCAGGGGATGATGGGAAGTAAGGTATCATATTGCTGATTATGCTGAAAATTTTCAATAAAAACTACCGAAACAACCGAAATATTTCAATATTTAAAAGTATAAGCTATCACTCCGTGTTTACACGGCCACCATTTTTTATTTTTTCAGCGTAATCAGCAATGTGATACCTTACTTCCCATCGTCCCCTGCACGCATAAACTAAAAGCTGCCAATTTCCAATTGATTATTGATATGTGATTTCAAGTTCCTTTATACGGTACCATGTGTATATTATTTTGCCGGTTTTTGTATACTATTCATATAAATTGTCAATATATTAATTTGTATTTTCTGTCTTTTCATACCTTTTTGTCTATTTCTCATGTGTCCTTTATGTATCTAACCTACAGTATATACTCGCTTTGTGACCTTAGTTATTACGTACAATCATATATGAATACATTACTTGTCATTGACCAATCAGAATACATAGAAGACTGGCCGGTGCCAGGGCCTTTTCCCGCCTTCCCAATGGAAAAAGCCCTGGGAACGAGGTTGGATGATAAAGTAATTTCATTTAAACGTGATATAGGTATAAATTCATACAGTATAAATGGGCTTAAAATGTAGGGTTGGGGAAACCATTCCTTATAGCGTGGAGCGAGTTTTGCAGGTCTTAGAAGGTGACACGGTTCATTTTCTATCCCGGAAAAATAAGATGAGCAATGATGTTGTTCTCGAGGGAGACACGCCATTTCTTGCAACGTGTGACGCCCCACTTGATTTAATTAACAATGGATCTATTGATCACGTGAACACACAAATGATGAATGTAAGTTGGCGAATGTTTCCGCTTCATAGACATATTCCGCGTGATGAACAAAGAGACATTGCGGCTTGCGCTCGGTGCTTTGCTGAGTTAATATTATACGTTGAACAAAGATCTGTAATGATGTGTTTAAATTTAACGTACATTGAGGCGTTAGATTCGTGTGGGATTTGTTGACGTATCATAAGCTAATTAGTTAGTGACGACCAGGATACCTATTTGTCCCAGTCACATTTTACGTAGAAAAGGCAATTAAGTCCAACAATTATTCTGTTTTTCTCTCTTAGCTTATTGTGCTTATGTCAAAGGAATTGGTTATGTGGATAACTTCGAGCGAAATCAAATTGATTCAGTGAAATTCCGACTTTCGTCGACGATTCCCACTATTTATAGTATATTGAAATATGACATCATAATATGTAAATGGGAAAGTGGGAATCGTCCACTTTTAACCCATTTTCTCTGCCTTTTATAACGAAACGCGTGCATATTTGAAGCCAAAGTATTAATTTATTCCTTACTCACGCAACTGTGCATTTAAATTCCCAACGACGATCATATA